GTGCCAGAGTGAGTGCCAGTTGAGGATCCTTGAGTGCCAGAGTGAGTGCCAGTTGAGGATCCTTGAGTGCCAGAATGAACACCAGTTGAGGATCCTTGAGTGCCAGAATGAACACCAGTTGAGGATCCTTGAGTGCCAGAGTGAGTGCCAGTTGAGGATCCTTGAGTGCCTGACTCGAATCCGGCTGAAGAGCCTTGGGAGCCTGAATGGAAGCCAGTTGAGGATGCCTGAGTGTTAGTGCTGGACTGGAAGCCAGATGAGGATGCCTGAGAGCCAGAGTGGAAAGCACTTGAGGATCCCTGAGTGCCAGCTAAGGATCTCTGAATGCCAGCTGAGGATCCTTGAGTGCCAGCTGAGGATCCCTGAATACCAGTTGAGGATTCTTGAGTGCCAGTTGAGGATCCCTGGGAACTGGAGTGGGACCCAGATGGAGATTTCTGAATGCCAGTTGAGGATCTTTCAGTGCCAGACGGGAAATCAACTGAGGCTCCTTGAGTGCCAGTTGAGGATCCCTGAGTGCCAGAGTGGAAGCCAGCTGAGGATCCCTGAGTGCCAGAGTGGAAGTCAGCTGAGGATCCCTGAGTGCCAGAGTGGAAGCTAGCTGAGGATCCCTGAGTGCCTGACTGGAATCCACTTGAGAAACCTTGACTTCCAGAGTAAATGCTGCTTGAAGATCCTTGAGCGCCAGCCTGGAATCCGTTTGATGGTCCTTGAGTGCCAGACGGGAAACCAGCTGATGGTCCTTGAGTGCCAGACGGGAAACCAGCTGATGGTCCTTGAGTGCCAGTCGGGAAACCAGCTGATGGCCCTTGAGTGCCAGACGGGAATCTGGCTGATGGTCCTTGAGTGCCAGACGGGACACCAGCTGATGGTCCTTGAGTGCCAGTCGGGAAACCAGCTGATGGTCCTTGAGCGCCAGTCGGGACACCAGCTGATGGCCCTTGAGTGCCAGACGGGAATCGGGCTGATAGTCCTTGAGTGCCAGTCGGGAAACCAGCTGATGGTCCCTTGAGTGCCAGACGGGAATCGGGCTGATGGTCCTTGAGTGCCAGACGGGAAACCAGCTGATGGCCCTTGAGTGCCAGACGGGAAACCAGCTGATGGTCCTTGAGTGCCAGACGGGAAACCAGCTGATGGTCCTTGAGTGCCAGACGGGAAACCAGCTGATGGTCCTTGAGTGCCAGACGGGAAACCAGCTGATGGTCCTTGAGTGCCAGACGGGAATCGGGCTGATGGTCCTTGAGTGCCAGACGGGAAACCAGCTGATGGTCCTTGAGTGCCAGACGGGAAACCAGCTGATGGTCCTTGAGTGCCAGACGGGAATCGGGCTGATGGTCCTTGAGTGCCAGACGGGAAACCAGCTGATGGTCCTTGAGTGCCAGACGGGAAACCAGCTGATGGTCCTTGAGTGCCAGACGGGAATCGGGCTGATGGTCCTTGAGTGCCATTCGGGACACTAGCTGATGGCCCTTGAGTGCCAGACGGGAACCAGGCTGATGGTCCTTGAGTGCCAGTCGGGAATCCAGGCTGATGGTCCCTTGAGTGCCAGACGGGAATCGGGCTGATGGTCCTTGAGTGCCAGACGGGAAACCAGCTGATGGTCCTTGAGTGCCAGACGGGAAATCAGCTGATGGTCCTTGAGTGCCAGTCGGGAAACCAGCTGATGGCCCTTGAGTGCCAGACGGGAATCGGGCTGATGGTCCTTGAGTGCCAGACGGGACACCAGCTGATGGTCCTTGAGTGCCAGACGGGAAACCAGCTGATGGTCCTTGAGTGCCAGACGGGAAACCAGCTGATGGTCCTTGAGTGCCAGTCGGGACACCAGTCGATGGTCCTTGAGTGCCAGACGGGAAGCTAGTAGATGGTCCTTGAGGGACAGACTGGAAACCATTCGATGGTCCTTGAGTGCCAGACGGGAATCGGGCTGATGGCCCTTGAGTGCCAGACGGGAAGCTAGTTGATGATCCTTGAGTGCCAGTTATGAATCCCTGAGAACCAGTCGAGGACCCATGACCTGTCGAACTGACAGCCGAGGACCCTGAAGTTCCAACAGTGGATCCTCCAACAGACAAGGGCCTTTGAGCACCAGTCTGACGCGGAAGCCCGTAGCTCAGCAGAAGTCCTCTTACGGAGCCTAAGTTGGCACCACTGATGGTCCCCTGAGTGCCAGACAGCAGCCCAACAGAGGAACCTTGAGTGCCTGGAGCAGATCCAAGGGTGCCGGAGGTGGGTAAGGCTCCAAAGGCACTGGCAGAAGCAAAAGCACTAGCGAAGGAAGGTTTAAGGCCGAACATTCCCGGGAAGCCGCGAGGGGCGCCGCCGAAGGACCTGGAAACGTGTGTAGGCCAAAGTTATAAGATTTTTTTTTTTTTTTTTTTTTTTTTTTTTTTGCTTCATATTATGCATGTTTTTAATCTTTATGTTGAGGAAATCAAGAAGGGCAGGTAACTGAATAAATGTGGAGTGTGAGCTTATATTCCATGATATGAGATCCTGCACC